ATCGTCGACGTTTCAAGCAGAAAAAGGAGAGGACTCGGACATGATTTTGAAGGTAAGTGCTTGAAAAGCTTCCCTGTGGCTGATAGAGAAGATGCAACTTTATTAGCCGGCTGCCGTTTATCCCGATCCGTTTTGTGGAGGTCCTCACAAGCTTGTTCTTTGCGAAGTTCTCGATGCTCATTCTAAGCCTGCAAGTGAGTAATTTTAAAAAAACTGCATTTGAAGACACGCTCCTGCGCTAGTAATGTGGGCGGAGTCAGATCTTGATAAACCCTGCAACTATTTTTTCACTCTCCAGAAACGAACCATCGCAGCGCATGCAAAGCAGTGATGGATAAGGTTATCCATACAAATCCTATGTTTGGAATGGAACAGGAATACCTTCTGTTAGATCGGGATGGCTACCCACTTGGATGGCCGAAACACGGATATCCTGCTCCTCAAGGTTTTTTCGAAAGAGAAGATCCACTTTTCTTCCACTGGTGTTTGCATAACTGTCAAAACTGTTGAGGTCCGTACTACTGTGGGATAGGAGCCGATAGGATTTTTGGCCGTGAAGTGGTCAGTACGCATTATCGAGCAGCGCTTCACGCAGGTCTCGCATTGTTCGGTACGAATGCGGGTGAGTTCTTTTTTGAGTAAAACTTTTGAGTTCTTTTTGCGAAATGTACTGCAGTATCCACCATAGTGCGAGAGCATTGAAGTGTAAGGTCTACTAATTGAGGCTACTACGGCAGGAAGGAGCATTTTGCACTTTCACTAGCTTCTTTTGCTAGTTCCTTTTAAGTTGCAGGTAGCTCTGTGGGACCCCTAGACTCTTGTCAAATGTTGGCGGAACTCCTATTATTGCATACCTCCACAGAAATTGACAGGTCTCTACAAAAGCAATAGGCAGCCCATCAAACCGAACTGCGCCCAGTAATTTACTATAACGCCAATAAAATATGATTTCAGGCACACTCCACGCTGGTCGTATGGGCGGAGATTGGAGAACCACTGTCCTAGCTCGTTGATGCGTTGCTCCTTTTTGACATGACGGTTCCCCTTCTTCGTCCATACATCGTCGCCCGCTTTTCGGCCACCATTACGCATTCCACCCAAATGCCATAGTGGAGGAAAAAACAAGGAGGGGGGTACGGAGTGTTGGGCTCCAGGTGGTCGCTATGTTCGCTGATAATCACCTAACTGCGTCGTGCATCAGAGAATATGACAATTCTAATTGCTATGGATGCTGGGGCGTGTCAGGCGGTTGGGTGTGTCGCGCGCAACCTTGCATCCCACCAACAATTGTCTCTTGCCTGTTTCACAACTGGTGTTAAGCGGGCTGGCTTCAAGCTCTGCCTGCGTGACGGACCAGCATCCACAGCGAGGCAAGAGAGCTGTGTAACACGTGTCACTTGCAACAGAAGGGGCGGGGTGTAAAGGGGCCGCGTGGACTTAAAACCGCCAGTCAGGAATATAACATTTCCAACAATTGTTTCCGGCGCAGGGTGGCATCGATGAGTAGGAAGAAAGGTCCGCCTGACTCGTTCCAGGTCCCGCCTTCCCATCCCCTCGCGCGATAATCACCGCGGTAAGTGTCGCAGTGAATGTGAGTAAACCGCGTATCGGACCTACTTTTGTTGCGTGGCGCGGCCATAGCAGATTTCCTAACCGGCTTCCATGGGATGGCTTTCGTTCTAATGATTTATCATTCAATGTGACACCACAATGCTATTTAATCATCCACCTTCAGCAACGTGACATCCTTGTCAATGGGAATTCCAACTGAGACAGTGCAAAGGCTATCGCACATCCGGCTCGATCAGCTATGCATGGCCTCTAGGCCTTACCCTTCTCATCCGCGTAGCCATGAACCATTTGAGCTCTACCGCTGACGCTCATCCTGAACAACCTGCGTCTGCGCTATTTTTCCTGTGCTCTTCGGCATGAAAATTCATATCCCGCGTTCCTCTCCGTTGAACACGTAAATTATTATCCCTATAATGCTAACGCCTTTCAGGCTTATCTCTCCCAAGTCTCGCTTTTGCCAAGTCGCACCTACTTCTGTGCCGCCCGGCTTTTATGTGGCGCGCCTCCCACTCACCGCTAGTCTGCTTCGACCACGCCCGCCGAATATCGAATCATTTTGTTTCTTCCTGACATTAAGATTACAGCTAAGAACTCCTCGCTCACCGTTGTCCACCACCGATTAGATGGTGGATGCACGTCCACGTCATGCCCGGCCCGCCGGTAATCTTTTGACAATCGCGAAGTAAATGAACACCATCTCAGTCATTCTTTCGTTCCACTTGAAACGGGCATTACACTACGGTGCCCAGAGGAAGGCACTGCGAACGGGCTCCCGCTCGCACTGGCAACTCTCTCCACCGGACGCAAATGCGTACGCCTCGAAGCGCGCGGCGATTAACGCGCGAACTTGAAGCGGCTGGGAGTGTCCCCTAATCGAATTACTTCCGGACATGGGGCAAATTTAAGGTGATGGCTAATGTACGCAACCGTCCCAATTTACTAGTGTCAAGGTCCGAAAATCTTTGTCGGCGCCATTCTACTGGACTCAGATCTCCTGACTTGCAAAAATTTCAAAATTTCATTGGTCTCCCAGTGATAGTTACACCACGTATTTAAGGCTATGCCAAAACTCGAAGCCACACACAAGGAGTTGTACTTCGTGTTATACGGGATCCCCGGATGATTCGGAGAAGACAACAAAGTACAGGTTAATTGAGAAAGCGATTTTAGGCCCACCTATTTATTGAACCATTCAGTTCAGTTCGCATTTCTTTGAATTGTAGCAGTCGTAAGAAAAAGCCTGATGACTACAATATGTACAGCAACGAAATTGGAATCTGGGCAAAACCCATACTTTATTCATTCGAGTAATTGCACAGACTGCTGAGCAGTGGAAGTGACTAAAAAGCCAGGTGTAGCGGATAAAAACCTGTGCAAAAACTCCTGTTCTGCATGGCGAGGTGCGATATGGCTACAAGAGTCTCTTTGGACGAGTTTCACACTGGTATCATACTAAGGCCGTCCAAGGGCATATCGGAAGTGCATGAAGCCAATCTGAACTCGTTGATATCAAGAAGTATGGTATTAGCGACTGGAGGGCAATTGTTAGATGGAAGGCAAGGCTGTCATCGTCCCGCGAGCACGCATCCCTAACATCCCATATGGGCTGCCAGCAGCTGTCACAGTGCCTCCCGTTTGTAGTCATGTGAGTGTTTACCATTGCGAAAAATATGATTCTAGGTAAAAACAACATTAATAGTCTCAATTCTTTAGAAATGGGACTGTGCGTCATTCTTTTGCATGTTGTAAACACTCACCCACTCAGGCACTCAATCCTGTCTTCATTTGGAATTGGCTATGCTCCTAGTTTCCAATGAGGATCGCATTTAGAATGCGAATGCCTCCTGTTATTTACCGATGTAGGGTGAGTTAGAGATAGCACAGTGATAAGTACAGTAGACCCCCATCTGCATTCTGGAGAGCCACGGTTTCCAACAGGAAATGGAACCCAGTCATACCTCAAAACTTATCGGAAGTCGAAAGGCAGCAGGAGGAGTGGGCCCATGTCGCCGTGAGTTCGAGTCCACGGAAAGAAGAGAATAAAGAAATAGTGGTCACATGTCTGACATCAGCTTACCGTAGCTCACGAGAGGTTGGGTGAATCTGCACCAAATTAAATGTGGGAATCATCTTTGCGACCTTTAAAGACAGCTTCCGCGATAAAAGTGTCAAGGACAATTGTTGATCAGTTATGAAACAGTAGCTGACAAGTAATTCCTCAATGAAGAAAAAGGCAACAAAGCCTCAAGAACACCTTTAACAAAATTGCTCCCTTACAGTTACATCGCCTTGCGGTCCGTGGGCAACCCCTGGCTCACAAGTCGCTTTATGGCATTTTCCAGTAGTGAAGCATCTGACTCAAAGAGAAGAATATCAGAAAACAACAAGAGCACGAATGAAAACACTTGAAAAAAGGAAAAAACTGAAAAACCTGGCGTCCGAGATTTGGGGTTACGTGAAGTGTGCAGCATTTGGTGCATGTTGAGCTTTTGTCAGCCAAGAAATGTGCATCATCTTCATGTTTACGCCGTTTTACTCTTACGAGAATGGTTGCAGTAGACTGTAGTGCTCCCAATAATAATAACGTGTTCCAAGGAGAGGCAAAAAATCGGCACTATTTACCCTTTACTGCCCCAGCCATCCGAAATCAGGCCAGTTCCTGACCGACTTTTTCTCCGTGGGCAGAATTTGCTGAAAACTTGGCTCCGGGGGTAGTTGACCCGCTGAACACGAATATTGCAACAGCTTCACCGGAAACGTCCTGGCGCCCGCGCCACAGGCGCCGGCGCCAAAATACTCGAAATCACCAAATTCGCTGAAAACTTGCTCCAAGGGGTAGTTTGACCCCCCTGAAACACCGAATATCAGCATCCGCTCACCCGAACCTTCCTGGCGCCCGCACCACGGGCACCGGCGCCAAAATACCCCAAATCATTGGCGCCTGTGGCGCGGGCGCCAGGAAGTTTCGGGCTGAGCGAATGTGATATTCGTATTCTGGAGGTCAAACTACCCAGGAGACAACATTTGAGCAAAATCTGCCCACGGAGAAAAAAGTCGGTCAGGAACTGGCCTGATTTCGGATGACTGGGGCAGTAAAGGGTAAATAGTGCCAAATCAATCTATGGCATATAGCTGCGATCAGCACATAAAATACATGGTGCAGATCCGATTAGTGCCCACCGTCCCAACAAAGAACAACTGAGCGGCTCTCCGTCAGAGGGCAGCTAGCAAGTGGGCGGTCCAACTGGGCGGGCGTTAGAACTAGAACTTTGAGCGGCTGTAGCTCGCTCCTCGCTCACTGTGGAGTCGCGAGAGTGGGACAGTATCTAGCTTGGGGGCTGAACTACCTGCACAAGGAAGGACGACCATGTACTACATGAGCGCGAGGGCTGTCTTTTAGAGAACCCTCAAGCATGCTTCCTCTGCGAACAGTATTTGCCCTACTTGGGCTCAAAGAATCACCGGGACCATATCCACCGAACACATACTCACAGCGAGATGTAATATAAGAAAAATACCACATGAACGCTCTCGAAATTAATTGATACCAAGACTGTGGTGTACGGCAGTAAGCTTTATCTGTTATGAGATTGCCACGTTTCAGCTACTGTTTTTCACTCCGACCTCCGACTCCAAAGTTATAAGGTAATCTGAATTACGAATTCGAAAGGTGCACTTCACAATTGTCATATGGGCGGAGACAGTCAGCCATTGCCTGACTCCCTGATTGGCGCGCCATCCTGTCCATTTTAGAAGGTGGCGCGTGCTAATATAGAAAGCACGATAGGTGTTTGGCTCCACCTGTATAGCGTCCTATACGATCGGCAAAACCAGCGCGTTCAAACAGAATCGAATATCGTTCCGAATAATAAATTTTTTCCTCCCTGAGAGGGTTGGGTATTCGCCAAGCTCGAATCATTTCAGGTTAACTGGAAAACACGAGACCAGCTCAGCCGAATTCTTCAGTTGGGGCGTGGCCAATCGAGCAGCAT